TTGTTGCCAGTGTTAAGTAGAAATCTGAAGGATAGCAATGCAAGGTATTTTCTTCCCTTTCCTCTCTTGGAATAAACCTTCTTTTCTACTAAACAAATTTTATTTTTTATTTGAAAACAAAATCCATCAGTGCAATGATCATCCACTTCCTTCGTAACAATACCTTGATAACACTGAATTCCTCGACTTATCCCTTTCTATCAAAATATCATTATCATGTGACATTTTTATCTACTACAGGCTGCAGTCATTCCTCAAATTCCACGTAAAAAGAAATCCAGAAACAGTAAACATACTACAACTTGCTGTCTAAAAGTTACCAATAATCACTTCGGACAGAAAGTGAAAAATAATTCCAGAACATGAATGCCCTATTAACCAAAGAGCTTGAGTAGGGAGAAATGTGTTCTATTTCGTTCTATTTCTGTAAAATTTCCAGATTCTGTTTACCACGAGTTTTGGAAAAGCAATATCAATTTAGCAAGGATACATTTCTTTCGTTACAGAAATATTTTCACCCAGATATGGATTCTATTGCATTATCTTGCAGACGGTCCTCGGACATATCGGGAAAATAACTCTGATTTTCTGAGAGAGAACGAGAAATATTTTTTGTTTCTTTCAACAAAATTCTAGAAGTTATTTTTAGTATTTGTCTGCCGTCTTAAAACATAGGTGCTTCTGTGCAACTAAATTGCTTGTGGTTATCAGTTCACTGTTTATTATTTATTTATCACTATTTTTGCATAAACACACGGACTGCTTGTCCACACATAATTAGGATTTAATAAGAAATATGTAAAGAAACGTACAAATTTTCAAGGCTTAATTTTTTTCAACAACCCCAGCAACGCCATAAAAATGGAAGATCTATTTACATTTAGAAACGTTTTTCGACAATTCAAGGCAGTCGCATTTTATTGAATTTTTTCTTCCAGTCGTCAGGTTGCCATCTTCAATGGGTACCTTGAGTCGAACGTCCAGTTAAAATCCACTATGGCTTCGAATGGTTAATGAGGTTACCGATTTCCCTCTGTCTTCATTTTGTTTGGTTGAGCTATGTATCAAGAAACGACATTTCTCAATAAAGTGTTGTGTTCAAAGTCTATCCTTCAAACTTGTTCTGCAAAAAATCAATTATAGAAAACGTTGCTGGTGGCTCGCAGTTATGGCAAATGTTTACCGATGTAGCAGGCTCTTAAGTAAAGGCAATGATAACTAATAAATATACCTCACATTTTGAATTCTTTAAGATAACTTATGCTTATAAAAATTTAAAACGGATTTATCAATCGTATGCAACCGACGGCACAGAAAATATATTGTTGTGTATTTGATGATAGAAACACAAGAGCATCAAAGGTCTGATTAACAAGACAAGCACTTTTTAAAAATTCAAACTAGTGCTGGGTTTCTTTTCTTGATATATACACAAAGAAACTTACACTATCCTTGTATTCTAGAAAACCTTGTTAACAGAAACTTCAGTTTCAGATGTCAAGTATATGAACCGTGTTTGCGATTTTCTTTGATTGTCAATGAGATATTCAAAAGCAGTTTTCAGCTTAAGAGCAGCATTCCTCTTGGTGTTTTAAACATGGACTTCCGAAACAAATTTGGCATGCTGTACCATAAAGATCAAGTCTTTAATAAGTAATTATGCTATTTTGTGCAATATAAATATAAACGAGTAATTTATTGCAAAAAGAGATCATACGGTTCTTAAGCACTGTCAGACCCATTATTTTATTATTCTGCATGTACTATCACTTCTACTTTTACTGTCTATCCCCAGGATGTAGATTAGCTAACGTATATAAAAGCAGAATTCTTGATTGAAAAAGACGGCTTTTGGCAGCGACTGCTGATCGTCTCGATGCGATTTTTTCTTGAGCTTATGAATTTATTTGAACCAGCTTTAGCCTTTATTAGCCATGCTTGTACACGTAACACCAGGGCTTGCACCGAAACCTACATACTACTGTTTTCTTGTAAATCTCATATTTTAAATGCAGTTGAATCCCGTTATATCGAACTCTAGGGATGAAAATTTATTTCGCTATATCAGATGGTTCACTACATCCGATTTCATAAGGGAAAATGGATTATCTCGCTAAGTAGTGAAAAACATTGATTGCTGAAACTCATGGAAAGAATTATAGCACTACCACATCTGCCAAAAGATGTTAATATTAAATTTAATTTTTTAAATATTAAAAGTTAATTAGTTATTATGAATTTCTCTTACTAAATTTCCTTTCGTTGTTTTGTCGAAATGTAATTGAGCATAAAAGTCATAGTTTAGACCCACCACTCTAATTACTTATTTTATCTGAAACACGTTTTTACAATTATGAATAAGTACTCGTCTTGAACAGTTTTAAAGAGTCTTGTCTGATAGCTAGATTAAAAAACTCGAATGGAATCAAAAAACATTTTTTTCTCATTGGATCAAGGAATTCTTCGCTCAGTGCGTAACAGAGTAAGCTCCCCTAAATTACGTTCATTGCATTTCCTGGTTTTCCATGATTCGAGTGCTACATCTGCCTCCCGTAGCCTTTCATTTAAAATACATATAAAGACTGGCTGAATATAAAAATAAAAAAGAAACCTAAAGCTATTTTTATCATTCTAATACCTTAAACAAGATGAACTTAAGGGTCAGTAATTTTTCAGTTGAAGACTGCGAAACTCTGGAAAAAAAATTGAAAAATGTGCGAAGCGTTTTAGTCCGAGATATCTACAAAGTTCGTTTTATCCGATATTTACAATCATGTAAATTCTGCACAGCTACATAAAGTAACTAAATCTCTAGAAAATTAAACAGGACCACAAAGTTCGTACGTTATAACCAGGGGTTCGTTATAAGCCGGGTTCGCTATAGCAAGGTTTGTCTGTATTTAAGTTTAACTTTTATGTTTTGTTAATCTCGCAAGCAGCGGAGTTCTTATGTTATGACACAGTTGTGTAAATTGTTAGGCTGAAGAACTAATAAAAAGTTTGTTTTAAATCTTCTCTTCAATTGATGTTACTTAACACCGAAAGATCAGGTCGGGCAATAAATCGCTTTGGCTCGCAGAGCCATTTACGGTAGCTCAGTTCTGCATATCTTGCTTAGATTAGTGTCTCACTTTCATTGAAGCACGATCTCAGAGATCACTTATGAACGCAAATAATAAGTCAATTTGACTTTTATTAAACACCAAAAAAATCTGTTGGAAAAAAAATTTATTCCAAGGTACAAAATTCTGAAAACAAAAAAAAAAAAAAAAAAAAAAATGAATAAATAAAATGAAAATGAAAAAATTCTCCTATCTCTAAACTCGAAATTACATCTTGAATGTAACCTGGAATTTTCAGACAGTAATCTTGTGCATTGTAATACACACAAGAAATAGAAAATTTGCAGTCCCCTAAAAGGTTGTTATAAATTAATTTTAATTTTCCTACTTTTAATACCATTTTGCAATAGGTACTATGGTATGGAGTATAATACCCCATAATAAAGTTTGGCGAAGTGTTATTAATATAGACATAAAAATTCTAAAGAATCATCCTATTTCCCCAAATGTGCTTTGCTTTACCGGAGAAAATGGTAATTATGCCCATCTGGGAACTGCAGAATTTATGGTTCAGGTGCAACAGGACGAGAGCACTTAAAATTTATCATGTCCCTTGATTTCTATAAAGTCTAAAATGCTTCTGTATTGGCGGCCGAACTAAAATGTCATAGGTGACAAATCGTCACCGATCGCGAATTTCATCTACTGTGTTACTTGCGTTTTCCAGCTAGTCCCTTAACTGGGAAATAATTGCCTGTTTACCTCTGTTAGACATCAGGCGCTCCCGTCCTCTGTCACCAACTAACCAACTGGGGAAGCATGTAAGTAATTATTACAGTACAGTAATAAGTACAATACTGTGCCAGTATTGTAGCCTACGACTGATGTGAGGTGGGTTGATTAAGAGTAAAAATGTTCCATTGCAGTTGCGCCATGTATGACTTCCATTCGGCCACAAATTCCCATTATATCGAGATATTTTTTACATAAGGGTTAAGATTTATGCCATTGATGTTTAAAGAAATGTATTTTAAATGTTCAAAATAAACCTCCTCGGTTTAGAAATTAGAATCTTTAAGCTAAAGTTCTCATTTTAAAAATTATATTAACATATGAGAAAACTTGAAGTGAATCTGACAAATTCATTAGTGCATTAAATGAACTCATTTCTTCAAAATTTATATCTATAATGGAAAACTTGCCCCTTTTTTGCACAGCAGTGACAAGATTTCGGTCATTTCTGGGACTTGCATTAAGAATCGATATGAAAAAAAAAATTTTAAGTAATTATTCTTGCGTTACATTCTTCACACACTTCCTTTGCAATATAGGAATATTACTTGAAATTTATTTAGCTGATGCAATACATGTCCTCACATTATTTAAATTTTATTGTTATACATTTTGGCCCTTCACCTAATTTCTTCGAATTTACTTACTCAGTTCAACTTTTCAATTAAAATTTTTTGAAGGTGCCGAAACATTCATTTTTTTTAAATATTCTGTCATATATTCTTAACATTTCCGCGCTGTCTTTGTCAGCAAGAAAATATTTATTCTCGAGAGACTATATTGGATTATTGGAGTTGTGGCAAAGTATATGAGGACTATCTGCTTAAGGGGAGATATATCTTTATGGAGGATACTGAAGAACTGCCTCGTATCCACGTACACGTGGGGAAAATCACGAAAGTTCCCATGCAGACGGACTTTTCATCGGGATGTGAACAAATGCCAAACTATCAGTGTTTCAGAGACTTTACCGCTTAGCTGCTGGTGAGCCCAATCTTTCAGCGTATCAACAGGATATATTATTCTATATGATATTTCACGTGATGACTTTGATCTTAAAGTCAGTTATTTTTCTTACGAAAGGAAAGCGAACTCACGGCATGTGTCAACAATAATTAATAAGTGAAACAAGAGGATGGCCCTTACCAATTCGTTGATATCGATCCAGATCGACGGGAAGTGGCACTGGCAGACATTGTGCGGTATCGAACTCGGGAACAGAAGACATCAAGGGGTCAAATCGAGTCACCATTTGTCGGTACAAGTCGGCCATCACTCCATCTCCTTTAACTTGGATCTGTACGACAGCAGGAACTGAGAAATAAAAGGAAAGTTTTCAGGTTGTTGAATTTGACGTTGTCCTAACTCTTCTTCTTCACACTCAAAATTAGAATTACTGAATATGTGACATCTACTGACCTCCAATATTAGTTTTATATGGCAACTAAAAGCAGCTGTATTTTTAAAAAAGATAGCTCAAAGTTACTGTATTACAATGTTTTCTCTCTTTGAACGTGTGACGTCACTGATCATAATCTGCTCAGAAGCAACTACAGTCGAGTCCCGCTATAACAAACCTCATTGCAGCGGAAGTTAGATTCGCTATATAGAGTTCGATAAGAGAGTTTTTATATTTATATGAAAAGGAATAAAAAAAATATTGACTAATTTATCTCTAGCTTTTACATAAAATATGCACTGTTGTAAATGAAAGATTCAATAACTTTTATAAATTCCTATCATTTTCAAAAAAAAACGTTAAAAAATAGAAAACCCATCAGAAGGACAAACCTTGGATATCATTTATACTTAAAAAAACAAACAATCCAATAAGGCTGAAAAAAAAAACTTTAATCCTTAAAAGACGCTTCAACTTTAAGATTTACTACTTCGTCTTTCCTTAAAAAGAGAACATTTCAAAATTTCCGTCTTAATATTAACCTTGAATAGAGCTCTGTCCACTTACTTTCTTTGGTTTATAGTCACATACATCCTATACAAAGAACGCTATAGGGTGTCCTAAGATTAGCTTATTGTGTCCTCGTTCTCCTAAATCGCATCCCCCACCTTTTTCGCATAGTCTTTGTTCAGAACAAAGAAAACGTCCCGTTAAAAAAAGAAAAGCAATGTATAAAGGTGATTAAGTTTTCATAAAAATGTTTTACATTGCGGGTGAAATGTGAAATGTGAATCCTAACATATTAAAACTGGCTGACTTTTAGCGTTAGTAAATTTTCCATTAAAACTAGAAATTCTTCAAAAAAATACGCAAAATACAAAAAGTTTTAATATAAGGTATCCACATAGTTCGTTCATATATAGGATTTTCATACTTTTCGTTCGTTATAGCAGAATAAATTAAGTTTTGAGCAAACTGGACGGAACCAACAAGACGAACCCTTGCATCGCTATGTCCAAGAGCTTGTAAGCTGGGCTCCTTACAGCGAGGTTCAACTGTATTTAATATTCCTTTTGTGTCTTCGTTTCTCCTATTTCTGTAAGTCTAGTGACGTCATTAAAGTCTATCGCTAGGAAAATTTAACATTATTTGCCTACTGACTTCGAGATCTTTCAAACGTACTTAGCATCTACGATGACTTATCAGACGGAAGCAAATTTTTCAATAGGTATATATAAACCGTATACATACGCTGCCCTTTCGCTTCCAGCCTGCCGTAGTAGCGTATGAGGGACAAAAGTTGGTACAAAGAATAATCCAGGATCATGTAGAATCCCATCTGTAGTCCGGATATTAAAAGTAGGGTCGCAGCCACCAATAAACTCCGTCTCTCCGAACGAGCCATGCGAAGGGAAAACGCACTCACGTACTTCCTTCTCTCGCGATTCGTCAGCGGCAAGATGGTTTCCTTGCCCATCTCCAATCTTCTGTCGTCAATGTCTTTGATGTAAAACGAGATGTACACGTTGTCAAAGTGATCGGCTGTCAGATAGCGGATGCGATACAAATGAGCCCTATAAAAATTTTCGAAACAGTAATTATGTAAGATTAAACATACTGATTTTCTTGAAAATCTCTTGCTAAAGCTTAAATTAACATAATCCATCAAAAAATTAAATACTTAAACTTCATTTCTCTACACAACGATAACTTTGTGACGAGATATGACTAAGTTAACGTTATAAAATGTGTCGCCGTGATCTTTATGGTAGTTAACGTTACTAGTTGCCGTACGGCTGGTCCTGGGTTCGAATTCCAAAGAAGGCTTCTGCATTTGTAAGTCTTTGCGGCAAGGAGGCACTTAAAGTACACGGAAATTCTTTCGAATGGTTTAGTGATAGTGGAAGGTGGGTGAGAAGGCCTCGGACCTGTCTTCCGGGGGATTCTCTTCAAAAATTAGGTGTCCGCCGAAAACATTGCTGCAAAACATCATGAAAAACATGATAGAAAATGTTTTGGTAAAATATAAAGCACTTACAAGTCATCGCCTTTTGAAAAACACATGTCTGCGATGACATGTGTTTTCAGTCTGTAAAAGTTCTAAATGCATGTTCGCACGATGATTTCTGAGTGCAAGAAAGCATGAGTAACATTTTTACTTCTATATTTCATATTTTTGAGCCCTGTAATGAATTTTTAATTGAAAAAGCAAGAAAAAGATTTTTACCCAAAGTTGACTTGCTCATATAGAAACTAAATCGAAAAGAATTTCATTCATTTGATAACCTTGTTCAGTTATCCGTTATTATAAAGGACTTCTGAGGCTATTACACGCATCTGTTACATGTAAGCCATATACAATATTTAAAGTAAAATTTTAATCTTCTCTTCCAACACACAGAAAATTTGAATTGTGCCAGTATGGCTTACAGAACTGTTGAACTGCAGTGCATCTGTTCTTGATATGTAAAAATGAGTTGACTATATTAAAGACGAATATTCATGTGCAAGTCTTATTCAAAACACATGGGCTCGCGAAGTTTTGGAAATAAAAGGTCTTCCGAGAGAAATATCACAAAATACAATGTATTGCTAAACCAGCCTTACTGGCTTTAATTAAGTCAGTAAATTACCACCGTAAGCTAGAAATATGTAGAATGTTTCGAACGAGGCGATTTAAAAATTAAGCTAAGCAATTTCTTGCCAAATATTTTTAAAATGCATCGGTACGTCTAGCACAGCCAGAGCCGTGTCAAGATATTTTTTCACCTGAGGCAAAAAGGTGAATGCGACCCCTATATATATATCAAAACAAATATATTTGTGTTAAGTAAATGTATTAAAACAAAATATCATAATTCTTATAGCATAATTATACCATAATTCTTAAAGTATTTTTAATTGTAGCTTTATAAATTCAGAAAAATAATACAGCCAATTATTTATAACTTTCAAATTAAAATGTTAAAAAATTCTTTTTCGATAAATAAGAAATAACATCGAAATGCACATTGAATTAATTTCCAGGTTTTCTTGCAATTCTTTCTACTGTTTTATTAATTAAGTTTTAATTAATAAAACAGTAGGAACAGTTTTTTAACGAAGTTCAGTTTTTAACAGTTTTTTTACGAAGTTTAGTTCCCTTAATAATAACTGAAAATTAAAAAAAAAAATAATTAAAGTAATTTTCGAATTTGTGTAGCCAATTCGGCGCCCATTCTAGTGATTCACCTGAGGTGACAAGGGTAAGGCAAATAATGGAATGTTTCTGCCATTAGAATCTGTGATTTTGCTTCCGAAAACTTGATTTTAGTTGTAAAATTAAAATAATGTAATAAACAAAAATACTAAAAGGTAACATTAATAAACCATTTTTTAAAACGTTTACTCATATTCTTAGTCTAATTGTTATATTTAAATTATTTATGTACAATTATTTGCTGTATGATTTATATGATCGTTGTACGATGTTGTTTTATGTATACGTTGCATGATATGATGGTTAAGTGATATGTTGTATGATGTATATGATCAATAAATATATAAAGAGATCCATGAAGAAAACCATTCTGATAAAAGGAATTAAATTGTTAAAGAGAAATTTTAATGAACTGAATATCGTAATTCCAATATATGTTACTTCTGTTCTACCAGTATTCCTTAAAATAGGATAACTCTTAAGACGATAAAAACATTGGAAGTTCCTGCCCAACAATGTCTGGGCAATGGCCCCCGAACTAAAATGTGGTGGATGATAATTTGTTACCACCAGGATTTGGCGATTGGGTTCCCGTCTCCCTAGTCGCTTTTAAAAGTAGTGGAGAATGTACGATATTTTCTACCTTCTTAGCGCGTGGCTTCATAGAATAATTTGAAGCAGCAATCAAGAGAATTAAACCTCGGTGAAGGCAATGCTCATTTTACAAGTTTCTTGCTCCGAAATAAAGCTCAGTGACACTACATTTCTTTTCTTTAACTTTTAGAAAAACAAGTCGTTTGGGCAAGGTTCTTTATAAAAATAATTCCAATTATCTTTCTAAGAAACATAAAACAAATAAAATAACATAATAAAAAGAGAAAAAATAAAACCGATTAATAAAATCATACTTTATGAAAAGGAAGACAAGAACAAAAACGAGACTGAAGTCCGCCCAGTCTACAACATTTGTCAGCCATTCGGTGCGCTCCCTGATCTCGTTGGCGATGTCAACCCGGATCTCTTCGAAAGACTTGCTTTGCTCCAGAGAATAGTTGTAATAGTGGACGAAAGTAACATTCACATAAAACTGGTTATAAATGTTTCGGGCGAAAGTTTTGACCTCTGGAACGAGAGATACAGAAATATTACCAACAAAAGATCAAAAGAAACAATTGATATGAGGAATTTTCGCCTTCTTTACTGTGTGCCTTCATGATGTAGTTAGTAATACGACCAGCTAAGCAATCGGAAGATCAGGACTTCGAATCCTGACGAGGTTGTCCCTAATTTTCTCACGCTTTCTTCCCTAAATACAGTATATACTCTCGATTAAACAGGTTATATGCATTATCGTGCATGGCGGTACCCACGCACTCCCTCAATGCTATGCGCGTAGGTGTAAAACCAAAGACGTACAAGATCAAGCCTGTTATTAAAACACTTGAATTGCATCTTTAAGTTTAGTTTCGATGGTTACCACATATAAAGCTTTCTTTACCGTTTCGTCTTTTCATAACTCTTGCTGAGGAAGATGATGATTTAATGAAGTTCTGGAGAAAATTGAGGGCACCGAATGCCATAAAGGGAGTTCCAAAAGCTTGGTCGAATGTAAAACCAATAAATGTATATAAAAAAAAATCTCAACGTTTTCATATTTTAAATTACGTCCAAAGAGGCGTTTTTTTAACGTTTTTTGTGTTACCTTTATTTATTAAATATCACGTTCTTTGCACTTAAATCATAAAATTCAGTTCAATAGCAATGTCGCAAAATAATTTTAAAATGAGCATATCTTTAGAATTTCCGATACACAGTTCTGCGAGCTAGAGATAAAAAGTTTTTTCCCCGTAGAATGTTGCAATTGCTCGCTTTTAAATCATTGAGTTTTTTACTCAAATTCGTTAAAGTTTTACAAAATATGAAATCGATCATAAAACAGATTCCAAATTTCAAATTTGGTTTTCCACATGCCCATATTCATAGGAGGATTACTTCATTCAAAATTCGACAACTCTATGTACCGTTTTATTATCACAATGCGAGAAATATACATACATTTATGCAGATTTTTCATTACTTAGTTTCTTCAAATATAATGCAGGACTCTAATATTTGGTGGCAACAGTTTGATGAGTGAAACGGACATTTATAGTGAACCAACGCAAAATTGCAAAACGAAAACAATAATCCTTCAGGGACAAAGCCCTTTTGGACTAATAACATTTCCTCGATTACAGAGAAAGACTCTTCTTGATATAGAAATCAGAGGTTTAGCTAATTCTGAAGACGTCGAGGCAATAACTGAAGTTGTATGCCAGAAAATGAAAACGTAAAATTCTTCGAAGATGTCGGCCGGGAAAACAACGAGGAATTATTCGATGATGATTCCTTTGAGCCGTGTTTTCAATGCTTGAGTGATGCAGATATCGGTTCAAATGTCACAAGAATAAAAGAGGCAGAGAGATAGATATACTAAAAATACAAGCGAAGAAGATACTAACAATTACATAATTCCCGAGACAGGAGTGACTTCCGTTGAAACTCTGTTGGACTTTGATGTCCAAAGAGGATTCGAATGCAATAAAAATTACGCCGTGAAACTCCACAAATAACGTTCTCAAAAAGGAAGAAACTTTTGTATGAAAAAAACACATACAATATGCCCAGTTTGATTTTTCAATTATCCTTGCCCTGCTTCTCCTGCATTAGCCCGAATAATCGAGAACACTGCCGCTTGGATTTGGCTATTCGGTAACCTTCTTCCCCAGTCGCTCTTTAAGTATATGAGAATGTAAGGATTTTTCTCCTTCTTCACGGCGTACCTTCATGAAGTAATTGGTAGCACGACAGGCTAGCAATCAGAATGTTCGGAGTTAGACAGGCTAGCAATCAGAATGTTCGGCTAGCCATCAAGAGATGAAGAAAGAGGTTTAATGCACTTACTATTTTATTATCAATCTATTACTGTTTAATGCTGAATCAGTGATAGACTGATTAAAAAGATAAAGTTGAAAAGCTTTTCCGAATAGCAACACACTAGTCTTGGAAGATTAATATTGTTGCGTGCCTACGGGTTCGTAATTGTCCGATGAAAAGTGAATAAAATTTATTCTTATCACAACAAATAAAAACAAAATTCTTAAATTTCCTTAGAGATATTCATATAATATGGCAATATCTAACAGTAATTACCTTTTAAACTACGAAAACGTTCAATAGAAATTAATTCAAAACAGAGAAACCTAATCCGATTTCACAGCGAATTCGCTACAGTCAACAACAGCAGTAAGTAATCTGAATTGAGATATTTTCCTCCAGCTTTTAAAAGCTTTTTAAATCACGCGCGAGAATCTTCTCGTATTATCTCGAATTTTCTGGATAGCAAAAGCAATTACGATATATCTATTTATTAAATGTGCGTGCTACTGTATTTTAACTTTCCGGCGTAGCTTTCTCCTCAAATAAGCCTCGTGCTGCATTGCACAGGAATATAAAACAATTTTAATTACAAATTCTACTCAAAATAGCTAAGTACATACAAAAACTGTAACAATATATTTTATTGCGGATAAAGGTAACAGATTTCTGTTAAATCGCTGCGTTTTCTGATTTAATTTGAAGAATGAATATATTTTGCAATTACCTTTAATTTCTGACTTTTCTGATTAAATTTGAAATATAAATATTTTACCCTTTGCCGAGTGGGAACACACTACCTCGTCAGTCTTTTATTTAAAATATCATTAAATGCACAACAAATATGAAATAAATAAAAGCACAAGTTCTAAATTCAGAATTAGGGCATCCAGGTGCACAAGTGACGGATTACGCGTGTTCAAAATTTGCGACTCTGGATGCCGCTAATATTCCACTATGCAAGGAATGCACAAACATGCATACAAACAAATTCTTCATTAGTTAACAGTACAGATTATTGAAAGATATTTTTTCATAACTTAGAGCAGAGGTTTTCAATAGATGGTACGCAAGAGAAAAATAGGTGGCACGCAAAGAAGCAAGATATTTTTAGTCCAAAAGGGCTTTGTCCCTGAAGGACTATTGTTTTGGTTTTGCGATTTTGCGTCAATTCACAATTTTTGCGTCTACAAACGGCAAATAACTTTTCAAACTGTTGCCACAAAGTATTATCGCCCTGTGCTATAATTAAATGATGAAAAATCTGTATAAATGTATGCATATTTCTCGCATTTTGATAAAACAACGGTACCATCGAATTTTGAATGAAGTAATCTTCCTACGAATATGGGCATGTGGAAGACCAAATTTGAATTTAGAATTTGTTTATTATCTATTTCATATTTTGTAAAACTTTAACGAATTTTTTATTAACAAACTCAAGGATTTCAAAGCGAGCAATGGCAACGTTGTACAGGAAAACATTTTTATCTCCAGCGCGTCAGTCTCTGTATCGGAATTCTAAAGATATGCTCATTTTAAAACCATTTTGCGATATTTCTGTTGAATTGAATTTTACGGTTTAAGTGCGAAGAACGTGATATTTAATAAATAAATAACACACAAAATGTAAAAAAACGCCCTTTGGACGTAATTTAAAATCTGAAATATTTCATATTTTTTTAACTATTAAATTCAAAAATTAAAACCCCAACAACCTGATTGAGTTTTCTCTCTAACACTCGTAAATTTATGCGATCTGAGCTTTGTTCAAGAGTGGTGGTGGTGGTAGAGCTTTGTAATGGTGGTAATAAAAGTTTTCAATTTTTGTTTAGATGGTACGCGTTAGTCAAAAGGTTGAGAACCGCTGGCTTAGAGCAAATAATATTTTTTTAATTTTTATTTATTTTTGTTTATTTACTTTATTAGCCCAAAAGGGCTATTAGACTCCAAACGGAATTTTGCGCTGGTTCACTATAAATGGCGAATCAATTCTGAAATTGTTACCTCCAAATCTAGGGCAGCGTATTATTTTTAAACAAATTAAATAAAGAAGAATGTGCATGTATATATATATGTACATTCTTCATATTGTGAAAAAACGACGGTACTAAGAACCACCAAACATTGAATAACGTAGTCTTCCACCTGAATATGGGCACCTCGAAGCCCGAATTTTGAATTTCGAATTTCTTTTATTACTTTTTTCATACTGTGTAAAACTTTAATGAATTGTTGATTAACAAACTCAACGATTTGAAAGCGAGCAATGACAACACTGTTGAAATAAAACATTTTTCTTTATTTTCAGCGCGAATTTATTCATATTCGGAAAAATGTTCGATATTTATCTTTCAGTTTTAACTGACAAACTCGGCTGCCTGAAAGCAATATGTTGTCGCAGCCGGAAATAAAATACATTTATCTTTCATGCGCCAGCGTATTGCCATTCAGTAAAGCTTAAGATACTTTCAAATTTAATCTGGAAAGTTACTGAGTAATAAATTAAGTTATTTAAAAGCAATAAACACAATTCTTAATAATATTTTTATACTTTTTAATTGATTTAAATAAAATGTATTGAAGTCATGACATGTTCAATTAGAAATATTCAATATTTTTAAAACATTACACTAGCTAGACTCATTAAAACCATTATACAGTTTGTCTGGTAACTATTTTAGGCGGCGGGCAGTGCGAGCGGCTATTTTGTAAAGAAATAATACAGCGAATATAAGAATATGCATAGAAACCTAACTCTAAGTATTAGATGTTTTTAAATATTTTATAATTTTGCTGTTGAACTTGAATTTTATGTGGACTAAGGGCGAAGAACGTGATATTTAATAAAAACAGTTAATAGGTATATAAATAGTTAGTAATAAAAAGACAAAAAAAATTAGTTTGCTAGCCAACTGACTAAGAAAATTCAATTCTGATATGATGAAACGAGTAATGGTTGAACTAATATAAAATTATATGCCAACACTTAACAATCTAACGGAAATTCAAAACATATGCCACTATGCAGCTTTTAAAAATTTTGTGATTTTGTTGTTGAACTGCATGTGGTACGCCACATGCAGTTCCACAACAAGTGCAAAACAATTTATACGTAATGATAAAGCTAAAAAGACAAAAAAAAGTTGGGTTGGCAGGAGTGAGTGCAAGAGCAGACTGATAGACAGCAAACTCAACAAGAGCATAAAAAACCTTGGCAAATCTTTTCGGTCGACCGTT